AAGGCGATAGCATACAGACAGTTCTTGTTAAATTTTTATTCTTGCCATTTTATACCAGTAAAGATTTGTAATCGAACTTTACCGCCTGTATGACAAACCTGATATTATTAGGTCCATTAAAATAAACAGGCTGCGGTGGTTAGGTCACATAGAGAGAATGAAGGAGATGGAGCCGAAAAAACATATTTATAACCAAAGAATAGATGGAGTGAGAAGGAGAGGCAGACCCAGAGCACGATTTAAGGATCAGGTGGAGGAAGCCTTGAGTGCGAAACTGGAAAGCCAAGGCGAAGAATAGGAGAGAATGGAGACTTATCCTTGAGCAGGCCAAGACCCACCATGGGTTGTGGAGCCAATGATGATGATGAAAGATTTGTAATTATTCGTAAATCTTTATCGCCCAATCCAGCTGTTTTCAATATTTCTAGCATTTTGTTATGTCGGACCTTGTCAAAAATCTTTTCAAAATCGATTGCACAGATGTATACATTTTTATTTATATCTCTGCATATCTGTATCAGTGCTTGGATACTGAACAAGGCTTCTCTCGTACCCAAGCTACTCCTAAATCCGAATTATTGGCTGATAATCACTGCATGATGTTTCTTTGGTTATTATGTCTAATGTTCGTTAGCTAATCAGTTGGTGATATCCCAGTGTCATAAATTATGTTCAGTGTTGTTTCTGTCTCCCAGAAACTTTAGTATTTCAGCATTTACTTCATCGAGGCCAAGTGACTTTTCAATTTTTGCCGTTTGTATTGCCCATATAACATCACTTACTGTCATAGATTGACCTGTTATAGCAATCGGTGTATAGTGTTCGACTCCTTTATCTTTAAATAATTCATAATTGTAGTTTTTCAATTATTTTAACTGTTCATTGATATCTAATATCTGTGTCAATTTTTGTCTTCTAAACTTTAGGATAGTTGTTTCCGTTTCTTTCAGTCTCTTTTAATTTCTTGCGCAGTTGAAATGTATCATGTTTCTTTTCATAGTGTTTAATTTCGTTGCATACTATGAGACTGTGTTGTTCTTTACTATGGACATAACTGGATCATCAATTTGGAGATATAATTTATGAAGATAATAAACAATCTGCGCAGGACAATTTAAGTTTATCTAATTCTTAATTCGCGGTATTTACTATTAATTTTCTGAAAATATAAATAAAAGTAGTACCCAGTGATTTATTTACAATTCTTTTTTTTCAGATTTAGATGGATTAACCCATATATGCCATGAGTTCAAGGGATTTTTTAAGAAGGATAGACACATGGAAGCAGAATATTTTGTGTTATCAAGAATAGTTTATCGCATGAAACAGAAGTTTCGCACATCCAAGGATTTTAAATATTTAGAAAGAATTTACAAGTGTCTTAAAGTGTATTTTAATATGAATCTTTCACAATATGTAGACAGATTTTCGGAGCTTATTCCAAGAAGATACAAACTAGATACTCGTTTACCATCAAGAAATTTACTAGATTATATACTTATTCGAGTACAAGGCGCTACAAAATTACTAGAAAAAATGGTGGATTTTTGTAAGGAGGCTGCAGATCTTTTACTCGTTAGAATTAAAACGGGACAATTTTGGAAAGTGGCCTTGATTGTATATAGTATTGTTTCTAGGATATATACTTTAGCCAAATTTACAGTAAATCAGCTATGTGAATTCTACAAAAAGTTGATAGGCTTCTCCAAAATGCTTTTAGGGTCAAAGAAATGGTTGCCGCAAGGTTATATACTACCAGATGATCTCAAAGAATGGTTGAACATCAGTTGGCTGGATGATGACATTCAGATAATCGAGCCTTCCCTACCAACTTCCGAGATCATGAAGTTTTTCGATTTGGTAGATGATAGCGATATAGAGTTTTGTGATGAATATATTTTAATACAAGAAGAAAAGGACGATAAGGATCTAGAATTAAGAACACCAATTACTACACTTAAAGTAGATGATGATGATGAGGATCCCGGAGTTGTTATAGAAATAGATGATATTGTGTCTCCTGTTAAAAAAAGAAAAAGAACAATGTCCAAAACCTATCGAAAAGAGAAGAAAGAAGGAAATATTATAACAAAGAAGCAGAAACTGAAGCATAAATCAAGATATTTTACTAATAAGAAATAATCGCATATCTTGATGTTATTAAAATAAAGTTGAACTATTAAAATTGTGTACTTTTGTAGCATTTATTCAGCATCTATGAATCTGGTACAGAATCAGAACTGGTTTTAAAAAGTAATCCCATACATTACAGTGTCTCGAGTCGCTCGGTTGGTATTCGAGTGCATGTCTGGTTATATTATTTTGGTCTTAATTCCTCCATAGAGGACTGCTTAGAGCAGTCGAAAGCGGTCGTATTGCGGTTCGATTCGACTGCAACCTGACTACTCCCAGCTGTCCGGTTGAAATCGTGTGAGACTGCAACATGTCCGCTCGTATTCAATCGGTTGCAACACGGATTCGGACGAAGAGGGACTACTTCTCATTTTGTTATTACGTAAACGAAGGGTAGAAAACGTCGTAGAACGTGGGTGCAAAATGGAATATTTCATGCTTTGTATCCTCAGCTGAATTTTTAACAATTGAAGGGTTTATTTGAAAAATACTTGTCCAAAATTAAAATTTTGGCAACTCAAAGAAAACTACCCAGCTTCAATTTATTTCAAATCTTACTTTTACTAAGATATTCATTGAAGAAAATTCGCTGAGAGAAGACCAAACCGGATCCTGCGAGAGATATTAAGGTATGATGTGTACCATAGATGGAAACACAGAAGACCTAAAGCGCAAAAATGAAAACGCGCTCACCTTTGGCATGGCACTGTATTTACTAAATATATTTCACGCAACTTTCAAAAAAATAATCTACAAAAATGGCTTCAAACACCAAAAAAAAATTAATAAAATACTAACAAAAGGCGCAAGCCACAAAAAACATTAACAAATCTCAAAAAACGGGCAAGAGGGGCGCCCCACATCTTCGAGCGCCAAGTCACCGAACTGGGCATAGCCCAAAGCGGGAGCTCTACAGCAATACAAAATCGACGATGTCACTAGAGAGTTAATGCTCCTTGCTCCAATAAATTGTATCACCCTAATGTCATACTTAAGGGGTGGCAAGTCTTGCTTCTGAAAATAAGTGCTTGTAATCTGTTTTTAGCACTAATTGCTGACCTATATTCAAAAGTTCTCTTCTTTCTACATATCCGGTAATGTAATATCTACTAACTATGAAGATGATATATTTGGGCCTTTGCAAGACGTGTTCTTACTTTTCGCTGGAGAGTTTTTATGTCCGTTTTAGTCCACTTAACAATACTAAACCAATAGCTAAGCGCGGAACAAATATTTACTGTTTTTACCCTTCGTATGAACTTTTAAGGTAAATCAGTTTTAATTATAAATCAGTCGATTTTTCGTGCTGGCTTTACGCTTATGATATATTTGTACATACTATTTTCACTCATATCAAATCCTCTGGGATGAATCCTTCCTCTCACTATATTTAGAATATAATATTTCTCTAGTCAGACATGCATTCTTACAATATTTATAGTTTTGAAGTATCTGATCTGTATGGTTTCAGGTGGTAGCCATTAATTTCAATTCATCCGCATATTACAGGTGATATTACGCTACCACTATGTTACTAATTTTGATGCTGAGACTGTAGCTGGGATAGAGGGTTCATCGCTAGACAGAACGTCAAGCGACTCAACGGATCTCCTTGGAATAGATCCCAGTTAGTTGGGATATTTTCAGTTTTTATATGCTAACTAATTAAGGAAATTACAAAAAAAAACAGCAACAGCTCGCAAAACGTTTATTGTTTCCAATTATAACAGTTAATAAAGTGACTAGATTACATTAATACACGAGTTTATAAATATATAAAAATAAATAAGCTGCAAAATACTAACATTACTTTGTATAAAACTATTTGATTTATATTAAAAATAAAATTTTAACAACAGTTTAACAATATGAGTTGTTTTTCAAACAATGTATTGTACATATTATGTACCCTTGTATTTATATAAATGTAATTATAACATTTTTTATTATATTAACAATTTATAGTATGCAAGTATATGTTGGAAGCACTTTAGTAATAAAGAGACTTAAGTCAGATATTCTACGTAAAAGGTTTAACTGATTTGTGCATATAGCAACACAAATTAATTACATATGCTTCAGTATTGTTCTGAAGCTATTTTCTTGTGGCATTGTAAATTAATTACTATTTAACTGGGAATAAGCCACAATTGAAGATAAAAATACGTTTATTGACGTTTCAATTTCCACTTCGGAAATCGTTTTCAAAATACAAACAGTGTATTTTTTTAATTAAAAATCCTTTGTAATAGGTATATTTTAGGCCCAAACGGGCTAAGTTAAAAATACAAAACGTTTTCGGAAACCATGTTCCATCATCAGTGTCTAGGAGTACATGAATGTAGCCACCAAGATTAAATATGTGGGTAAAAACCCGATTACATATGTTTAATTACATTTAGTTTTAAAATAATGTTGTAATGATATAGGATTATAGAGTTACCGATGGATTAGGTAACATGGCGACATATGACTCCACGTTGAAGTTGCTAGTCCTGAGACGGTATGTCTTCGAGGACTGTATGAGTGCAACTTATAATCCTATATCATTACAACATTATTTTAAAACTAAATGTAATTAAACATATGTAATCGGGTTTTTACCCACATATTTAATCTTGGTGGCTACATTCATGTACTCCTAGACACTGATGATGGAACATGGTTTCCGAAAACGTTTTGTCTTTTTAACTTAGCCCGTTTGGGCCTAAAATATACCTATTACAAAGGATTTTTAATTAAATTTTTAATACATGGTATACAGCCAACTACAGGAACGTAGATTCCTTGTGGAGTGTATTTTTATCTTCAATTGTGGCTTATTCCCAGTTAATTAGTAATTAATATGCTTTAGTGTTATAAATTTTAAAATCTCTGCATTTTCTTTCATTTTGAGAGGCAGTGTATTTTCTCCATCAGTCAGCACGACACTGGTAGAAAAGGAAAGATGGGTATCAGCGGATCTCCAAAAATGAGTTGCGAACAGAAACTTTAACCAACGATGAAAAGCTCTTTCTGAGGGAGAACGAAGTCCACTCAATATATGCTTCGAAGCCTGATAAATATGGCATAAAAGTATGGTGGATATGTTATGCATTTGGTTTTCCACTCAAATGAATTATTTATACAGGCAAAATAGGTAATACTCGATATTTCAATCAAAGAAAAAGGGCTTAAGCTTAAAAGAGGATTAAAAAATATGGATGCATTGATACAATTCACAAGAAATCTGATAGTCTTTGGAAAATAGTTTTTCATTCAGTGCCCACTAGAAAACCTCTCAAGGTCTCTATCATATGCTTTCTCCAAATCAAAGACTGAGATACACATGTTCCCAAAATTCAAATAAATCCATTTTGCTGTACCACTACAGATTAATTAATACTTACAGGTTTAACAAAATCATCCTAAATGGATTCAACGAAAAACTAACATGATAAACATTTTAGAACAAAATTGAAAATATGACAGACACTTGCTTAGTTAAAAAAAAAACAAGAAAAATAGTGTAGCAGATGTGAAATGTTTTATTCTTTTAAAAGTAATATAACTATAAAGTTACGAAAGCAAATATTGAGTGCGAAACAGTTTCATAATATTAGACTTTGATTCTTAGGAAAAAAAAAGGAAATTATTCTACAATCACACGCGACAAAGTGGGAAATAATGCCACAAGATAGATCATACCGCTGTCATGACATAAAAGTTGTAATGTTTGTTATTTTCTTTAAATAATTATTTTATTTCAATTTTATTCATCTATTAACTTTCATTTTACTGTTCTAAGCCATGAAATATAAAATCTCTATGGCTCACTTCAGTCGACAAAGTACATCTGTTAGTTGGCAACTCTGCTCTGTTATGGCACTTCAATTCTGTAGAGGATTATTTTTTTTATAATGTCTTTTGCTTATTTAAGCTCTATTTTCACGAGTTTATAATGTTAAATCTGTTCTGGATTTCTTGGCTCATTTTTCCTGTCCCACTTGCTCGGGAGGGACCTCCACTAAAACCATAGGAATTAATAGACTGTAGTAGTGGCCGCTGCTATGAAAACTCAAGTATAATTGTAACCAGTATCTGGAGCTAGCAACCCCACTAGCTGCATTCTACAAGAATCCTGCCTAACTACTTGAAGACAACATCAGATGCCATAAATACCATTTTAAAATTCTTGTAAAGCTTTAGGCAAGATTTGGTTTGGTTTTAATTTAAACTTGGGTTTTATATTAAAATTTCAATTTTATATTTTTTTAATAAATATAAAATATTAAAACTACTCATATTAATAGATATGACTAGTTAATATCCTGGTTTATTTGTCCCAGTCAAACTCATTTTTCAGATTTACTTCTAAAATAAGAGTTCACACCCCGAGCGACTGAACTAGACGAGGCCTAACAATTGGCTCCTAAAGAAAGTTGTGAGGTTCATTGTTCTACATTGACTCTCAACTTTCGGAGGTAGTTATAATGTTATAAAGTTGGTATGGCAAATTACTAAATTGCTTCCAAACCGTGTCAATAAAGGTTTCACATCCAGGAAGGTAAATTATAACCAGTTAAATAAATACTGTAGATGTATGGTGAGGAAGCTGTAATAACACATGGTACTGATATATGCCTTTTATAAAAAAATGGTGATTTAATATTAATAGTAACTTAAAGAATATGGAACTGTCAATATTAGGCATAAAAAAAAGAAATTGGGATTTACGACAAAGAATAGAGTGACAATCATTGTAATAAAACCTTCAGAATTCCACACATATAATAATAAAATAATTCTAGAGTTAGTAAAAAAATGCAAAATATGTCAAATGAAGCTCTAATTAATCTTAGTATTCAATGGAGTTATTAGTGTGTAATCTTTATGCACAAATCATAACTTTACTCATATCAACTTCGATCTTACCACAAAAGGTAAACTGGTATGTTATATTCATATCATCAAACTTTTTGAAAAGCTCATCATCTGCTGGTGTTGGTACATCAGTTAATGTACCAATTTTAACAAGTTTTAAACTAGGAAAAGCACGGAAATCTAAAGTTTTGTATACATTATTTTCAAAAAGTATGGTTTCCAGCAAAGGCATAGTTTGAAACCTTTCGTAGTTTATAACAGATACAGTTTCATTGTTAAATATTGCAATTTCTTTTAATTTTAGTAGATTAAATATTCCGTCACACTTTAGTTCTCCAATTTTGTTATGCATAAGAATAAGCATTTCCAAGTTTTTTAAATCCTGGTGAACATCACCGAATATTGGCAATTCGCACCGTTCGATTATCAAATATTGTAACGAAAATAAATTTCTGAAAATATTACCATTGCTGTTTTCGAACTGACACTCTTCTATTGTCAACATATTTAACTTTTTTAGAGGAGAAAAACAATCTTGATCTGGTATTTTCAAATCTTTTAAATGCACAGACTCCAATGTTTCACAGTCTTCGAAAATCTCCTTAGAAATAGAGACTTTACTTTCCCTTATATCTATGGCTTTTATATTCTTTACAGCTGCAAATGCTTTGGCAGAAAATTCCAAAGTACATCCTTCGAAATTAATATAGTCTAGAGCCGTGAACAAACTGAACGTTTCTGGAGTAATTCTTCCTACAATAAAACATATAAATAAATAGAAATCAAACAAATATAATAATAATAATAAATAGATGATAAATGGAATGATAAATAGATGATTTATGTGTAGGGTCGCTGCCTGGGGATCGCCAGGGCACGTCTGGAGCCGGCGCTGGACGTGACAGCATGCGGGACGTCGGTGGCAGGGTGTTGAGGAGGCGGGCCCCTGTCATACAATCAGCTACAGCCCAACAACAACAAGAACCACCAGTGAGCCAAACAACAGCAAGAGCTCTACTCGCTGAAGGTGCTGCGCTGGAACATCAGCCGGCGCTCACTCAAGCGGGACGACCGAGGCAGCGCATGAAATGGACTGTGTCTATAAACGAGAACATTTTGCGCTTTTATTATAAGGTGACAAACCTCGGTCAAGAAACGATCGGCTATCGACAACAACTGTATGCCGAATTTTGCAGGGAGTACCCAGAAATCCAAGTATCTGAACAAAGAGTAGCAGACCAATACCGGGTAATTATCAGAAACAATCTTATCCCAGAGACTAGACGCGACATGATCAAAAGCGAAGTCGAACGGGAGATCCATAACCTAGAGCAAGTTGTAGACCAAGTCCCTAATGAAATCATTAATGAGCAGATTCCTGAGCTTCTCATCCAAGAAACTCCACCTGATAATATACAACAGGAGAATAACGAGTTGCACGATAGTCTGGTAAACGAGATGGCACGTGCCGTACAAGAGTTTAGTGGAACAAACCCACTTAGCGGACCACCGCTACCAAAAATAAACTCTTCGAAGAAACTAGGAACGCTGTTACAAATTGTGAATACTGAAGTCCTACCCAATTATATCGTGGAAGCCCATACATTGGAATATTTGCATATGCTGATTTACTGTGCGGCAACAGCAATTGCTAATGTTATGGGCATTAAGATCAGAACACGACGAGGAACTAATATCGGAAGGACTGAAAACAGAATAGCACCCTGGGAACAACGACTGCTGAGGAAGATTGAATTACTGCGTAGGGACATTGGACAAATTACGGAATACATTCGAGGAGTAAGAACTCAAAAAGTAGTTAAAAGAACTGAAGAAATAATTCTGAACACTGGAAGACACTCACAACATGATCCAGAAAACAGCACAGCTCGACACTGCCTGGACACACTAAAACAAAAACTCTCCGTTTATTCAGGTCGCCTAAGGAGATACAAAGTGAGTAACAACCGGAAATGTGACATTATACTTTTTGAGCATGCAGAGAAGTCTTTCTATAGGAAACTGAATTCCACTGTAGAAAATATAAATAAATCCTACCCAAGCCAAGAAGAAATTCATGAGTTTTGGGGAAACCAACTTTCGACACCAGCTACTCATAACAACAATGCTGGATGGATTGAAGAAACGACGAACAACTGTCAACACTACACTAATGTTCCCTATGAACCTTTCACCACTGAAGAAGTCTCGAACATTATCAAAGAGCTTCATAACTGGAAATCTCCTGGGCCAGACGGAGTTCAAAACTTCTGGCTAAAGAAGTTTTGGAGTATACACGAGCATTTAACAGTATTAATTAATCATGTTATTTTTAATCCGCAGGAAATACCATCATTTCTTACTCAAGGAACCACTTATCTAATACCAAAGGATCAAAATAACACCCAAGATCCAGCCAAGTACCGCCCAATTACTTGTCTTCCAACTTTGTACAAATTGGTCACATCCTGTGTAACCCAGCGTATCTACCAACACTGTTCTCTAAACAATATCATAGAGCCTCAACAGAAAGGATGCGCTAAGGGTTCCATGGGCTGCAAAGAACAACTTATAATCGACTCAGTCATTTCCAACCAGGCGTACAGCAAAAAAGGAACCTTTTTACCGCCTTCATCGACTACAAGAAGGCCTTTGATTCAGTACCGCATCAATGGCTGATAGATATATTGAAAATATATAAAGTCGATGTTAATATAGTGACCTTTTTAAAGCATATAATGACGGAGTGGAAGACTAAAATTCACCTTCAAATACCTGGTGAAAAAAACATCGAAACTGAAGATATCCCAATTAACCGGGGCCTTTTTCAGGGGGACTCCTTGAGTCCTCTTTGGTTCTGTTTAGCGATGAACCCACTATCTCAGCTACTGAACACCACCGACTCAGGTTTTAGTATCAAAAATAACAACACTGTTGTGGCGAAGCTTAATCATTTGTTGTATATGGATGATTTGAAATTAATGGCTTCCACTCGAAACCACCTAGACCAGATGCTAAAAACTGTTGAAAATTTCTCAAATGATATTAGTATGCACTTCGGTCTTGACAAGTGCCGTGTCTTAAATATAATCAAAGGAAAGGTTCAGCCCGGCGGATTCGATATGCAAAACGGCCAGAACATCGAGGCCAACAACAAAAATCTTCGTGTTAAACAGAACGAAAAAATCGCCAAGTACAGGGATTTGAAATTCAAATACGAAGACAGTGGAAAATGGAAAGTACCCAGACAATACCTATTATTCTCTCTACTACTGGAGTCATTCCAAAGAACCTCCTAGAAAATATAAAAAAGCTAGGTCTGAATGAACATCTCTACAAGACCATGCAAAAAGCTGTACTACTCTCAACATCCCGATGTGTACGAAAATTTTTGGGAGATACTCCAGCATACCAAGTCACCTAGGACTCGATAACACGGAAAGAGTCCCACCAGAGCTCAATCCTTTTGATACCGTAGGTATCTGTGATGAGTGAATTTTCCCCTTAGAGGGAGTGTGAGCCGTATGGCTAAATCTGGATAAATAGATGATAAAAGAAGCCCATTCCAAGAAAAAATTTAATTTTTTTTTCGATTTGGCATCAAAAACAAACTTATAACCCTAAATTTTCACCCTTCTACTACCAGTCGCTATTTTTTAATAGTGATACTATTTTACTTTTATCAACACCCACTCCCTACAGAGTTTTCGGCCATTATTAGATATTGTTTGTGTATCGGTCGATCGTAGCAGTGACGTGTATTCGAATCATTTCAAATTCAAAGAAATACTTATATTCGTATTTTATGATTTTGAAGGGTCGGTAAAATAATAAAAGAACAAAAATGTGTGATGTGCAGTGGACAATGCCAGTAAGACGCCAAGGTGACAATTTGGGCCGTCGAACGAATACAGCTACAAACATGCTACAAATAGAAGAGTACAATGAACAGATGAACAAATCCAACAAGATAATGAAGATGTGAGTGTAAGCATGGCACAATTATGTGAATCACAAGAGGCAGAAGCTGAAGAAGCGCGATGGTTCTTTGTTAACACACGAGCAAATGACCGAAAATGCCAACAAGTATATCGAGTATTTACATCTGATTCGTTTCTTCGTGTAGCATTCGAGTATGAACCAGATATTGAATATTACGCTTATTTGAAAATCTTTCAAAGCAAGTATCAAGACTCTCGTATGCTAATTCTCTCAGTGAAAACTCTAAACTCAACCGTAAGTAAATTTGATGCTTTTGAAATATAGATCTACCTGAGAATCCTCAAGATTCCATGGATATCGCATACCTCAAACGAAGAAATGCTCCATAGAATATGCAAGGAACGAGAACTTTTCAACACAGTGAAAGTTAGAAAAACATCATACTTGGTCCACATACTGAGAAATAATTACCGATATGTTCAACTAATAGTAAAAAGAAAGATCGGGAGATAGAGGCGACCAGAAAGGAAAAGAATATCGTAGCTAAGAAACATCCGACAATGGACAGCTAAATTTTGAAGAGCTGAAGACAGAGAAGAGTTTGCCATTGTAGTAGCCAGCCCGCGCGTACAGCATATCCTGTTCCTTCCGAGTGCGTTCTCACTTCATTGTTCTTGCGGGCAATGGAAATTCTACACTTTCAGCTATTTTTGGTAGGCTGTGAAAATAAAGTTGGAAATAGTTTAAGCGGAAAACCAGAAATCGTGGAGATATGGAAAGAATATTTCGACGGGCGATATGGTGCTCACAAAAGGAAAAGAAGACATAAGATAAAGGCTATCAAAGTAAAAAGGAAAATGGGGTATGCATAAATAAATGTATCGAATGAACAGATAACAAGTTCAGAAATGGAGAAAAGTTAAAACTAGAAGTAGAAGGAAAAGCAAACGAATTCGAAATAGCCGAAATGTTCACATACCTTGAAGCAATAATCACACAGTAAACTGAACACTAACTAAGAAATACAAGCTTGAATAATGACAGGCAATAGATGGAATGTTAAAAAGAAAGTATTTATAAATGAAGACAAAAATACAGACATACAAAACAATGATACAACCAATAATGAAAAATTAACAAAATTGGTTGAGTTTACCGAAAGTACAAGCTGAATATAGCCGCAAATGTCAAAAATATTTCGGTTTGGCAGTGTTGGCCTGTTTTTATAATGCATATTTTGTATGCTTCAAATATAAAGAGATAAAGCTTTTAAAAAGTACATTTTGATTATACTATTTTATGATTTCTGCAATTTTTAATTTATATCAAGCAATAACAAGTAGATATTTGTCTCTTTCGAGATTAATTGCAAACATCTTTTGTAATCTGGCAACTGCTGATTTGACAATTGCCAAATCTATCCCCTAATCTATCAAAGGGTAACTGCTAAAAAATTTTTAATAATTAACTGCAATTAATCTCCAAATAAATAAATATTTACTCATTGTTGCTTTATATAAATCAAAAATTGCAGAATTCATAACATAATATAAACAATATGTACTTTTCTAAAGCTTTATCTTTTATATTTGAAGTATACAGCATCTACATTATAAAAACATGCCAACACTGCTATATAGGTTATTCCACGAATATACGACTGTTTTGGTTTACTGCAACAACGAATATTTTACTGTGCAAGTAGAAGTATGAAGGTAAATTGGTCCAATCATTATTCCAATAAAAAGGGTCTACTAGTATGACATCTAAACTAAAATTATTTCAGTTAAAATCTACAAATAAATACAATG